GCCACCACGCCCAGCTGATTTTTTGATTTATTGTAGAGATGAGGTCTCGCTGCCCAGGCGGGTCTCGAACCCGCGGGCTCAGGCAATTCACATAAAGACTTTTTAATAGCACAATTAAGAGCATTCAGTTTGTCTTAGATGTCATAAATTAAAGAAAAGCTGAAATTTGAAGAGGTTTTTGTGTTGAATGCAATCCACATTAATAACCAAACTGGATAATTAAGACCAATTAACTCCTCTTTTCCAACAACTGCACTTTCTTTTTCTTTCACCTTTCCTTTAGAATTGTACAATTACCTTAAAATCAAGTCATTTGGGATGAGTTACTCATTTCTGCCAAACTGCACTTGTGGAAAAACAAAAATATTACCTCAGACTTCCTTTTAATGTAATCATTTTACTTGGTTTGGCTCAGTCTTAGTTAAATGAAAACTATAAGTGACAATTGACTTAAAAGTATAATCTTTAACTCAGAATTAAGTAGCTTCTGGCGGGTTTGTTCAGATTACTCTGTGTAAAAACTAACAAAAAATTGGTTCTTCAGATGGCCCCAAATATGAAATGTTTCAACGTGTTATAACATATAAGTTTGGCTTAACTTTTCTGACTCCTTAGAATATGAGAGCTATTTAATGATGAGCCAATTACAGGCTGTCTCATAATGTATTTTTTAAAATCTCTTATTAAAGGTGGAACCTCTGCTAGCCAGACAACTATATTATTTTGCTCAACAAAACAGCGGACATTTCCTGAGGAGCTATGATTTACCCGAGCACATTAGCAGTCCAGAGGATTATCACAGGTCTATCCGTCATTCCTCCATTCAAGAATGAAAAATGTCAAGACAAGTTATTTTGTTTCATTGTAAATATTTACTTTGACAAGGACAGATGGTTGACCACCCTCTTTTTCTTTCGAAGAACTCAGAAGTGAGGCTTCAGCTCAGAATTTGAAGAGAATCATAGCAGAATGCATGTGGAAAGTCATCTGCACCAAGGTCGCAGATGGGCTTGTGCCAAAAGGTGGACAGGCTCAAGGTCTGACAAGTAGATTAACTCAATGTTTTGTGGACTAGCATTGTTGACAACAACTGTGAAAATTGACCAAGTAATGTGTTTACAATTCCTTAAATGCCCTCTTTAATTTGGTATAGAGCAGTTCTTGCTTGAAGACTGAGAAAACTTTTGTTTCAGTATTGCCTACTGGCTAGGGTGACAAATGCATTGAGGTGTGGTTGTACCATTTCTCAGGGAAGCAGAGTCTAAATTGAAGGTGTCTCTGTCCACAAAAGAAATGTGTTAGTATGTGCAGGAACTGCAGTTCTTATGGAAGATGCTTGTTGAGAGATAGAGACTGAATCTTTGACTGAGGCTGGGCCTGTATTTAGGAGTGGGCCCTCCGCCTACTTGTCAGAGTTGTCTTAGAGTGAGCCACCCTACCTTTCCCCACCTCCCATCTGCTTTCTCTCCTTGGCCTCCCTGGAAATCAGTTTGTAGACTCTTGCCATTCTCTTGAGCCAGAAAGCATTAGGGATAGTCTTGGATAGGACATTTTGTCTGTCCTACAATCTAGTATTGTTTAAGCAATGGGTACAACTTTTTTTATTTCATTGTTTTTTGTCTCTCATTCTTTAGAAATGATTGCTAAAACTTTTTTCTTAAGGAAGAAAAAAAAAGACAGCAGGGCAAGAGTCTAGTTTAAATAGACCCAATCACTTACATTTTTGTTGTTTGTTTTGGAAAGTACAGCCATTTAGACTAGGGTGTCAAGTGCCAGTTTTTTTTAATATGACAAAATGATTGCTATTTCTTCCAGGCTTAGTAAAAGACTTGATGGTTCTTAAATAGATGCCACTCCTTTTCTAATCTGTATTAGAAATTCATTCAATAAGCACATATTGAATGCTTGCTGTATTCCATACATCCTACACGTTGCAACCTTTGACATATTTAGTAAGCAGTGAATCGTTGAAACATTTTTTTTATTTTTAAAAGGGGTTCTTAATACTAAAATAATTTGTGTTAACTACAGAGAATGCAAACAGTATCAAAGAGCAAAAAATGAAAAGCATCTCCTTTTTTTTCAGCCCAAATTCTCCTCCCTAAAAGTGTCCACAAGAAAAGTTCAGTTTATTCTTCCAACATATTTCATTTTTCTATAAATATACATTTAAAAAAACCTCATGGGATCACCCTGCCCACACTTGTGCAGTGCTCTTGGTACCAAACAGTAAGGATTTACCTCATTCTTTTCAGAGGTGCTGTTGTAGACGTCTGCTGCCATGGGCTCCATAGGGCTTAAAATCCTTCAGGCTGGGTGTGTTTGAAATAGCAGATCGAGTCTCATGAATTGCAGTAGTTTATACATCTTATAGATGCAAAGCATTTTGGGATACATTATCCTAAGGGAAGATGAAGACAGAATTAGGAGCTGCAGTTTCACGGGCCACTGGCTTGTGACTTTCTTCACTGAAGAATATTTAACCCCACCCTACACTTCAAAGAAGCCCTTTTCCAGGTCTGTCCTGGGAGTGCCATATCTTCTTAATTCTCCAGCATAATTGCTATGTGAATTCTTTTAAAAATAATATATATGTATATATTACACTGCTTTCACAATGGAGGTGAATTTTCGGGAAAACGCTTGTTGGCTTGGGTCACCACCTCTTTTATCTTTACATGTGTGTATGTTGGCTAGTCTTAATTTTGAGGGATCTGGAGGTAAGAGCTAGGGAATGAACTATCTGTGAAATCATCAGGGTTAAGAATCCTGGCAGTTGTCTCAATCCTGGCAGTTGTCTCAGGACTCTGGAATTGATTCCTCACTCATTGTCTTGTTAAAGTGCCATTGGCAAACTAGAATTTAGTTGGTGCTCAGAGGAAGTTACTGTTGAAAATTCTGGATATCTGTTATGTTAAGAAGCTTTGGGTTGCATAAAAAAATGTACATGTCTCAGAGGTGTGTGCTCTTGGCTTATTTCTTTTTCTTGGAATTTCATATTATTTAATAAAATCTCAGGCAGTCATTAATGTTTCCTGGAACACAGTAGAGAACCAGGTGACGAACTCGTTTACAACTGAAAGCTTGGACCCCCCCCCCCACCGCAGTCCCAGAAAACACAAGACAGTTCATCACCCTTCAGAGGACCCAGCTGGACTACTGGAGTTGAACCATAAAGAGACTGCTCCATGGTGAGAAAAATGTAAAGTCCTAAGTGGAATGAGCAGCTGTTATCACTTAAGTGCAGGTAGGGGTTTGTGTTTAGAAAAAAGGTGATCTTTGGGCTAAGACATAGATGAGGCTAAATCCCAGGAACAACTCAGAGTCTTAGCTGCTCACACCCTGCCTCAACTGATGCACTGAGCCAATGAAGGCTACCTTTTTTGGGGGGCATCACTTTTTTAATAAAAATCCAGACACAGTTTAAACCCCCTTTCCTTGTTCTCCAAACACATTCCTCCCCTTCCCCACAGGTGAAAGTTTTCTGAAAGTAGTGAGATTCCTTAAGGTCTGTGTGTTTCTTACATATCTCCCAAATCACTTGTTGCGAACTGTGTCCATCTTCCAATTGCTGCAGATGAGCCCTTATGCAGACTGCATACACTCCATCTTTGAGACCGAGCCCTGTCAATGTAGGAGATCTCACCCGTGCCTTTTCAGCTGTTGTTGACAAGCCTGTCACGTCAGTGCCCCAAAGGGCAGTTTTCCTGGTATTGTCTTCACTGCTGTTAGGAACAGGCACACACAGCGTAACTGGAATGGAGGGAAGAGAGGCAATCTGGGAGAAGCGACGGGCCTGCAGCCAGCCCTCTCCCCATAGAAATATCTATTTTGATTCAGACCCTTTGACTTTACCTGTAATGGGGTCCACCTCCCCTCCTCAGTCTCCCTTGCACCTAGTTGATGGAGAGTGAGCTGCTGATGGGTGGGACCTGGCAGGTCCCCTGACTGGAAACCAACACTCTGCAGGGTCTGTGTGTTGCTGAGACTCGCAGGTGGGTCTCAGAACTGAGGGGAATGTTCTGTGGAAGCTGTTTGTATATATCATAAATTTTGATGTAAATCGCCTTTCAAAGCGACTGTATATGTGTAATAAACTCATGTTTTTAAGTAGTTGATAAATAAAGATTTTAAAAATGTGTTTTGGAGTGTGTGTGTGATTCAACACTCATCTGATGCTTTTAAAATACTTTCACATTGGTTCTGCGTTCTTTCTATGAGACCACCTTGGCAGCCAACTTCCTTCCTGGTCCCTGAAATCAAAGCTCAAAGTGTTCAGCTTGGGGGGAAAATTTTTTTAGAAAGGCAAGAGCTGTCCTGTGAGGTGGTTCTTCAGCATGTGTGAGTATGTCTGAGGCAGGTATCCCATCATCCCTGGCCCCTCAGTTCCACCTGTGTGTAAGCAGGCCAGTGTTTTCTTTTGTATTCAACTGGTTGTTGATATTAAAGGCAGGGATGTATGTTACCTAGCACTCTGAATGTGGAAACTGAGTGGAAAACAGGATAAAGAGCACTGGCATAGACAGAAGCCCTGGGGATCCTGCAGCTGGGTACCCCAACTCTGAACTCCTCCTCTCTACGCAGCCACCAAGGGGGTCTCTTGCCTATTTTACAGATTCTGCTGCTTCTGCAGCTGACCCTTCTAGATCCAGCGACTTCCAGTCCAGCAGGAAGACTGTCCGAGAGCAGGGTTGCTGCTGGTACTGCAGGGATCTTTGCAGCCAAAAGCAGCATGGAGCTGTTAGAACAGTTTGTAGTTTGGGTCTAGGACCACACCTTCTCCCCCCACCCCTGCCCAGGTTAGAAAAATTTTGAGTTTGCTAAATGGCTACTAAAGGGGAGAAAATATCATTTCTTTTTTCAACCCTCATAAATTCTTAGCTGAGACAATTTGCTGAAAACAAAAGCCAGGTTTACAGAAAATTCAGAGGGGATGTGCCCGTTAAGTGGGGAGCCTCGGGTCAAAAGCATCTCTCTCAAGGCAGTGTTTAGGACCTGTTTAAACAGCATAGAACCATGCATTTTAGCCTCATCTGTGACTCAGGACAAAGCAGAGAGCAGTTCCAGTCCCTCTAAAGGAGGGAACAAGTGGGAAGGTTGTAAAACCTGCTCCCAGGGTCCTCAGAGCCTGCCAGAGCCTCCTAGGGCGATAGGCAGGTGCTATCTCGCAGGTGGAGCGCTTCCTGCCTTTGCTTGTCTCTAGAAATGTTTCATAAGCAAATAGAAATAGTGGGAAAATGAACCATCATTCTGCTTCTTGGGCTCTATTTACTCAAAAAATATGGATGAACTTGAGTTAGTGTACGTACATAGGCAAGTTTTTTCAAATAACTATCAACTGTTTAAGTCTAAAAGATTGTCCCATTTTGAGCCCTGGACCACACCTCCCTCAGGTACCCCCATCTATTCTGTTAAACATTTTTAAACTAGAGGGCAAGTTCGACTATATTGGAAACAAGTTTCCTAAAGGCAATGATCACGTGACAATCAAATCTGCTTGTTCCCAGTGTGCTGCTGGTGGTCGGAAGGACATACTGAGCCCCTGGTTCTCCAGGAAGGAGTCAGGCTATGTATACCTAAGCTAGCCCACGCATACAGACACCCTGTGCATTCATGTACAGTTGTGAATTGTAGGGTATTTGAAGACAACCTGGGCATTCTTTTCATCACCCCCTCCACCTGCCAGGCTGAAATCTCTGGCAAACGTAAACAGGGTAAAGAGTATTCCTGAGAGGTGGGGCTATGGAGATGTTTAATTTTTTGTGTGCACTTCTTTGTCTTTTTCAAAATTTCTCCAGTAACCACATATTTTGTTACTAGAAATTGGAGGGAG